CAGGATGTGGTGTTGCTGCTAATGAGTTGAAACTGCAGCTCTACATCCTAATCTTATCATCTTCACAGTGTCAGCATGTTCTGACTTATCTACAAGGGCAGAGCAGTGGAGTGGATTCAGCAGAAATTTCTCATGTGAGTCAGAATGTTCAAATTTGTGTACCCCTATAACACATCTTCCCACGTTTCTCCTTTTTCTGACTTTCTGTTTATCATCTGAGCAGAGATTTCAGAGAGCTGGTGTCACACTTGATCATGAAGCTCTGCAGAGCATCATCAGATTTCTTCTCCTCACTTTCAGGCATGTGCTCATTTATTTACAACTCGATGCAGTCATTCTTTTTAGTCAGGCAGTTAGAAGGACAAATTATACATGAAAATGTTCCCGCTTCAAGCTGTAATGGTAATAATGGTTTAAAATCTCTAGGTCAGGTGGGAAGAACAAGCTCCCTGCAGATGAACTTTTGTCAAAGCTGGAAGAAGGCAGTAACAAGTGGTCCAAAGCTTCCCTGCAGGTGCTGCATGTGTTGTGGAGCGAACATGGTGCATTAGTCCATGCTCAGCAGGAGGCTCAGTCCATGCTCAGCATTGGTCAGGTACGTCTTTGTGCTCGTTTGTATGTATTTTGGGTCAAACTGTTCCCAGCTCGTTTGTTTTGCTGCAGCTTGTGGACGTCCAGTGGAAGCTGGGGATGGCCGTGAGCTCAGACACGTGTCGTTCTCTGAACTCGCCGTACGTTTGCCTGCTGCTGAAGATCACCGAGTCCTCTGGGCAGATTAGACAGAGGTCCTTTGAGATGACCATTCCACAGTTCCAGGTCCGTGTTTGTCGCCGTGAGTTTTTGTGTAATTTTATTCCGGCTCACGTTTAATATTTGTTTTTCTCTGACCCTGCAGAATTTTCACCAGCAGTTGAAGGAGATGGCAGCGATTATGGAGACCGTGTGATAATTGTCACCGTTCCGGCTGGTTTATGTGAGGCTGATCGAAGGAACAGCTTGATGCGTGTGTTTTGTTCACAGCGGCTGTCTCAAAATATCAATGTGACTTGATGCAAATGTCAATTCTCAGCGTAAAGTTTTCTACATCAAAGTTCCTTTTCTCTTAACTTATTCAGGTATTTAATTTCAGGGTTATAGAACGTACACTTACACTAATCGCCCAGCAAAAGACCAGTTTATTGGCTTAATTTAGCCACGTTTGTTCTAAAAGCTTACGAGTTGGACTAATAGAATAGGTATTCAAAAAGCGTTCAATACAAAAACAACTGGACTTTATTTGGAACAGAAGACGTTTCGCTCCTCATCCGAGGAGCTTTTGAGAAAGTTCCTCGGATGAGGAGCGAAACGTCTTCTGTTACAAATAAAGTCCAGTTGTTTTTGTATTGAACGCTTTTTGAATTCATCATGTCCTGGATGACTGAGAATCTTCACCAGCACCATGAATAATTATAGTTGTTGTTTTATTTACAGAAAAAGATTGCTACTAACCTGTGGTGCCGCATGTGATTGTTTGTCTTTAATACACAGTATATTCAAAATTAAAAAGTGAGAAGGAGCATCTTGAGCTGTTTATCAAAACACTTTGTAGAACAGATTAATGTCTTTATTTAACATTATGCAGTTTTCATTTGCACTTTATAGCTAATATTGTAGCCCATCCATCATCATTACCCGCTTCTTCCTTTCTGGGCCGTGGGGTCACTGGTGCCCATATCCAGCAGTCACTGTGCGAGAGGTGGGGGACACCCTGGACCTGGACAGGTCTCCAGTCCATCACAGGGACACAAAGAGACAACATTCATTCTCTCACTCACACTGGGACAATTTCAAGTTACCAGTCAGCTTCTACCAACGGCTCCACTGTGCCCACTAACACTGAGTCATGTATTTCACATGATTCAGATCATTTGCATCTACAACCAAACTTTACAATAAAATAAAAGTGATTTGTGTTCTTTCTGGCTTTCATATATGTATAATAAATCATTTTTTATTGTGACCTCTTGTCTGACCTCTTAAGCTCCTAATTAAAAACATTGCACAACACACACTGATTAATTATTCTGAGTCACCTCTTGATTTTTGCACACTAGGTGAGCAGAATGCGTTTTACCTTCATTGCTAGAAATCAACTTCAGATTGTCCCAGTTCAGCATGCTGTATGTAATTAAATGATTTTTTTTTTAAATTTGTGAAATGATGCCATGTTCAGACAAAAGATGAGAACAGCACAGTGATGTTTGCGTCATTTTGTAAAATTTAAATGCATCGGTCTAGTTTTCATGTTGAAATACGTGTATTGTTGAGTTGGTTTTATCAAACACGGCTACACTTTTCCAGCTTGTTTCAGTTAAGCTTCATGAAGCTGTTCGCAGTTTTCATGAGCTCATCTCCACCTCTCTCTCGCTCATTCGGGCACATAACACTCCCACCTGTTCAGAGAGGCCTCGCTGATAAACTGAACCAGCCAACCCTCCACTGTTATCACACCCCTAACCTTAACATGAACCACCACCTCTTGTGACTTTATGCAATTGCTGATCAAACTGGTTTCAATGTTCTAACCTGGCCAGGAGGCATTTGTACTTTTCTATCAAGACAGTGCTGGTCTGGGCTTGTTCAAATACATCTGTGCCTGGAATGTTTAATTTGATCTCATCCTACATAAAAGGCCTTTCACAAAATGGTTTCAAGTCTGATGCACTTGTTTAGGCTGGATTTTGTAAGAACTCTTGCTGCTCCTGTGTCTGCCCTCTAAGTGGAGCCACAGTACCACATGCATCCACTTCACAAGCGATGCATGCTGGAAAATTACAAATACATTAAACTTGGACTACAAGCCTTAACTGAGCAGTGACCATATAATGGTTTATGCAGAAATTCATTAATCACAAAATGATTTCTAATAGGTTTTGTGCATTATACTTCTAGGAATGGTATGTTACAATTCTTTACAGCTCTGAGCACGTACTCAGAGACCAGTGTTGTAAAAATCCAACCCACTCAGCACGAGTATCCTCTCAGGTTTAACAGGTACTTTGAGACGTGAATGATATTAAAGATGAGGTGTTATTTCCACCCAGAGCAGTGAGGTGTACAAACCTGTTTTGCTCGTGAACATTCTAAGAACTGCAGGCTTTAAATTAAATGCACCAGTCTTTTCAGCGGCGGCCTCATAATCCGTGGAACTTTTCACATACGTGCTCTCTAAACGCTTGATCACTTTAAATCAAAGCTGACAGCTCTGTACCCCTCCAGTGACTTGAACACAAAACAGCATATCCTGACTTTGAAAGTACTCGGTACAAGCCCACTGCCAAAAGGAGGACAAAAATGTTTTGCCTGTGTCTGTTTTTCTGTAGTGTTAGCAAAATATCTCATGAACCCCATTGAGACTCAAAAAGGGATCATTAGGGCTGGTTAACTTCTGAAGTCGGGTTAAGGTGGCCATTATAGTTGACTTTAAAAAAGATCAAAAATGGCTCGAACTCAGTCATTTTGAGATATGAGATACAATTTGGTGTGATTCTATTGCACTGTTGACCTTTTTACAGCTATTAATGCACATGCTCAGTGTTGGGATTTTGTGATGCATTGTGGTCTAGGTAGTTCTATGCCTACCTACGGTTTGTTATACACAGTCTAAACTAGGGCTATTCAACACAACTGCTCAGGGGGATGCAGTTTCTGAAAGCCAACAGCTCAGGGGCCAGACATCCAGCGATTAAAATCATAAACCAAAGTTTACTATGATCTGTTACTAGGCCTGTCATGATAACTATTTTTGCTGGATGATTAATTGTCTCGGAAATTATTGCAGTAAACGATAATATTTGTTTGAAATTTGACAATAATTAGTCATTATTGTCAAACTTAAGAAGAAAGGTTTAATTTGTTTTGCATGTAATACCTTTTTTGACCACCAGATGGCAGTATAAGACTGTTTGAACCAAGGATGGATAGTGAGGGAGCAGCGTGTCTCTTTAAGAAAAATGGGAGGGAGGCCTCTTTACATGACATGAGCTGTCTCTCTTCGGTTCTCAAAATGGCAGACGCTGGGTGTAGTTTGAGCTTTTTAGCATAGCATTTTTCACACAAAGCTTTTAATAAAAATCAGTAAACAAGTTCTCAGCTTCTTTTTGAAGAGAAAAACACGTTTTTACACGAAGGCACGCGTGGAGCTTCGACAATACGGAGTTTTTTTCCTGATGTCGGCCTGTTGACTTAGCTCGTAGCTTAGATTCTCAGCTTAGCTGCTTTTAACCATCCAAAAATGTGATTTTGGATGGTTAAAACAGATTTTAAAGAGAAAGGCAGGGGGCAGTGAAAAGCACCGGAGTTGAGCCTTTTGTCATCCAGTGTCTTCAGTAGAAAGAGAGACACGAAGAAACGATAAAGCTGATATCATGCTATTAAATGATTTATTGTTTATTGTGACAGGCCTATCTATTACATTTTTTAATTTGTTTATTTTATTGCATTGAATCATAAATCAGCACGGTGGCACAACTGGTAGAGCTGCTGCCTCTCAGCGAGCAGGTCCTTGGTTCAAACCCCGGTCCCGGGGCCTTTCTGGGTGGAGTTTGCATGTTCTCTCCGTGCATGCGTGGGTTTTCTCCGGGTACTCCAGTTTCCTCCCACAGACCAAAAACATGCATGTTAGACTGATTGGTAACTCTAAATTGTCCCTAGGTGTGAGTGAGAGAGTGAATGGTTGTTTGTCTCATTTGTCTCTATGTGTCCCTGTGATGGACTGGAGACCCATCCAGGGTGTCCCCGCCCCTCGCACAGTGATTGCTGGACATGGGCACCGGCGACCCCCGTGACCCAAAATGGAAGAAGCAGGTAAAAGATAATGGATGGATTGATGAATCATAAATGCAATAAACAAAACCGAAACGTAGAACCAAAAAAAAGAAGTATTATTATTATTTTTATTAAATGAAGTTGGCCGCCGGATTGAAGTCACGGCCCGTGGGCCGCCAGTTGAATAGCCCTGGTCTAAACAGTGATTATATCCACCAACGTTTCAGCTGTTCTCTGCTGTCATTACATTTCATGTTGAGGACATGTTGCTATCACAATGTAAAATACATGTAAACCATTTTTTTTTGTTTGTACATAAAAATCAATAATAAGCAGGTGTAAACAGATTAGAGTTGAATGCCGACCTTGAAGAATGAATTATTTGGCCACTCGGTGCCTGATGCACATTAGTAACTGTAAAAGGGTCAATTGTCAACATATAGCCTACGCCAAGCAGTAACTAATCTCATGAGATGTTTGCCTTTACCTGATGGAGTTGACTTCTGTTAGCAAAATATCTCGTGAATCATTAGTTTTATTGAAACTCTCAGGAAATCAATGATATATATATCCCAATTACAGATGGCCACCAAAACCAGCTGACTTTAGAAAACACAAAAATATAAGTCAATGTGAAAGAGACTGAGCTATAATTAGGTGTGGTAGTAGCTGAGAGTTGTTCCCAAGAGATTCTTAGCAGTATACATTATGCAATATCTTTGTTTCAACCGGCTTTAACAATTGGAATTGAATTTTTTTGGGGGAAAATTGAAAAAAAAAAAAAAAAAAGTGTTTTTGTATGGAACTCCGTTCTGTGAAAGTTGCTTTGAAAAGTGCAATAAATAGCTACTTTGTCTTGACTTGAGGGTAAACTAAGATTTTGCAATTCTTAATGATAGTTATAAGCATTTTATAGTTTGCATTTCATTTATTTTCACCATGAGCACTCATATAACCCAGAATATTTGAAAGCATATCTTGAACTAAAACCCAGTTCAATCAAATTAAATGGATGTCTGAACCGACTGGCCCTCCTTGTTTATGGTCAAACCACAGCAGCTCTGTGAGAGTTTGCAGTCTGCAGGTTCTGGTATCTGCTGCCTCAGTACTGAAGATAAATATGGCAAAGGTTCTATTTTGGGACAAGGGTTCTAGGAATTATAGCAGATGAGAAGTTCCCTGGTGCTGAAAGCAGCTGTGTAACTGTGAATCAGCACGAGCTGCTCGGAAACTGTGAGCTACCTTCACGCGCCTCTTTAACACATCTGTAAAAGCTGCCAGGAGCAGCTGTGGGTTGAACCACTACCAGAGGAGCTCGGAGAAAGCGTAGTCTAGAAGCATTTGCTGCCATAATGGACAACACTTTCCATTCACCAGCTTCTGGTGGAGAAGGGCGGAGCTCCGTGCTGTCATTAGCTCCGCCCGCCCGCCGGCTCGTCCTCCTCCTGCAGCACATGGGATTGGAGTCGGAAGAAAGGCTCTAGCAGAGACAAACTGCTCCTGTAAGACCACCAGCACATGGATTTTATTGTAACTACGAAGACTAGACACGCTGCTTCGAGCATCAGATGCGTTTGTGGGTTTCAGAGCGGGACGGCGGGGCTGCGACGTTCAGGGGCGTCAGGAAACTCCCACTTCCTCTAAACGGCTTGTGTTTACACAGGAACCTTCTGAAGCCACGTTTTATTTAGCAGGCACCGTGCATGCTGCACACTGGGAAGCAGGCGACACACGAGCTGCAGGAAGAACTCATGGCGCTAATAGCAAGTGTTAGAAACTAATCTGAAGTGGGCCTAAAAGTAGCGTTTAGTTCACTCCCCCCTTCGAAACCGAGCATTAAGAAAAGAAAAGTGTTGTGGGTCAACATGCAGAGCCAGGAGGAGAAGGAGCGGACGGACAGGCGCTTCCTCCTGACGTACATCGGCTGGTGCTCGCTCGACAGGCGGACCACGCTGCCCATGCTGCCGTGGCTGGTGGCCGAGATCCGCCGGAGGGGCGAGCGGGGCGACTGCGGCCCCGTCCTGCAGCCCCGGGAGGTGCAGCTGCTGCTCTGCGCCCCCTTCGTCCGCTGCGTCCCCGCCGGCAGCAGCAACTCGTCGGTGTTCATCTTCGAGCACAAGGCGCAGCTCATCTCCCGCTTCATCCACAACAGCAACGACCTGAGCTACTTCGCCTACCTGCTGCGGGGTCAGCCGGACAACCCGGAGTCCGACATGTCCTGTCACGTGTTCCGGGCCGGGGAGCCCAGCCAGGTACCGATCATCAGCACACACCGGTGCCTCGTTTTAAACTGCAGCTGTGTTTTGTTTCACTGTGAACACGTGACGTTACTTTGAGGCGACATGTAATCTCATAAACATGTTATTACTTTACACTCAGTTTAGGCATTAAGTATTTAGGCCAGGGATGATTTTTGTCAGTTAATCTGTGTTTTTCTCTTCAGGGGATCAGTGGAGGCTCTGCAGGTCAACAGAGTGACCTGAAGTGATTTCAGAAAGGTTAACAGCTTTTGAGTTGAACAGTGTTAGTTTTGAGGAAAAGGGTTTAATTCTGACAAGTGGAGACGGGACAAAAGTGTTTAAAAACTTAAAATTTCAAAAATTTCACAGCAGTTCATCCATCCATCATCTTTGCTCGCTTCTTCCTTGTCGGGTTGCAGGGGTCACTGGTGCCCATGTCCAGCAGTCACTGTGCGAGAGGTGGGGTACACCCTGGACAGGTGCACGTCCATCACAGGGACACATAGAGACAAAGAGACAAACAACCATCCACTCTCTCACTCACACTTAGGGAGAATTTAGAGTTACCAGTCAGTCTAACATGCATGTTTTTGGTCTGTGGGAGGAAACCGGAGTACCCGGAGAAAACCCATGCATGCACAGAGAGAACATGCAAACTCCACCCAGATTTGAACCGGGGACCTGCTCGCTGAGAGGCAGCAGCTCTACCAGTTGCACCACCGTGCTAGGGACACATACCATACCATTTTATTATAAAGCACTTCAAAACAGCAACAAGACCAACAGAAGTGCTGTACAGCTGAAACAAAACAAGCAAAGGACACAGGATAAAATACATATAGATCCAAATATGTAAAGATAAGAACTAAATGACTAACATTATAGACTACAGACAAGTTAAAATCAACTCACACAGAAGCCAGGGAATAAAAATGTTTTTAAAAGAGACTTAAAAACAGAGAGCACTGTGGGACATATGGCTGCAGCAGATCTCTAGATATATATTCATACTTAAGTGCCTTAGAAGTGCTACAGCTAGCTGCTTCTCTTTACACTTGCAAGGAACCATGAAATGCTACATTAAAAACTATGTAATATAAAATGAATAAAGATTTAAAAGTTTATGAAGTTGTTTTTGTACAAACTAGTTTTATTTTAAACTAGAGAATGGTAATTCACTTTGAGCTTATCCCTCCTTAAACTGTTAGGTCGTAATTCTGATCACATCTTACCAAATTTCTTATTGAATTTGATCAGAGTATCACTCTAATATAGTTATACCTAAATGTTTGCTTTAGTTAATTTTTATGCCACGTTTTGTTGGTATAGTAGGGTTTGACAGCAAGTATACTGTCACAAATTGTACAAACAGCTTTAAGAGTGCAAAACAACTTCCTTTTTTTCTTCTATTAAACACAAAATGCATCTGCAACCATCTTTGCTCGTAAAACCTGAATCTGTTATTAATGTCAAAAGACTCTAGTCAAAGAGCAGGGGGTCAAATATTGGCAGAAGAAAGTCGTGCATATGCCAGATGGGGGTTGAGATGGGGTAGAGGCAGGGCAGCCGACCCTGCACCCGAACGTCCCAGGTTCAATCCCCAGTCATTGCACATCTCGTGGTGTCTCTGAGCAGGACACCCCATTCCCATTTGCTCCCCTGACACTCTCCATAGCTGCCCACTGCTCCACCTGGGGGTGGATGGGTTAAATGCATAGAGCCAATTTCACCATTGTATGGGAACATACAATGATGACAACAAACATCAGTCAGTTGCATACATGCTATGGACTTAAATATCTCACAACTCATTTTGTTGTAACATTATTGCAATCATTTTTCATCTTGATGCAAGTCTTTTGATTTTGTCTGTACTTTAACAATATCCATTGTTTGGAACTCACAGAACTGTCATGTCTCTTGTGACAACAGTTGGAGGGACACAATATCCAGTCAGCACATTTACACGCTGGTCAGCATGCCATTGTTGAGTAACCAACTGAAATGTGGTAAACATCCAAAAAGCAGGAACGTGGGAGTCGACGAGTGCAGTCCCTCTTTTGCTGAGAGTTTGTAACACATGTTTAAAGTCTGGAGCTCGAGAGCTCACCCCAGTGGTGTCGATGTGCGTCGGTGGCCTCGCCTCGCTGTAAATTAACTGTAAATACACGATCCTGTTACGTTGTGTTTGTTTTTATAGATGTGAAAATTTGAGACGGTGTAGACAAGATTATTTTCAGCTTGCAACCTAATCTGGTGTTTCCCATTTGCTTGTGTTTTTCTTGTTCCCCCCTCAGTGACCTGGGAAAACTTAACAAATAATGTTCAGAAACAGATGCTTCACATTTTATCTCCGGCCAGCCAGTGTTGTGTCATGTTTCCCGTGCTGTGCGCACGGCCTTTAGCACGGTTTGTTTGCTACACAGAGCTAAGACAAAAGGAGATGTCTGACCTCTCTGCTGAAGTTCTAATGTTGCAACCATCAGAGAGGCATCTTGAATGTACGTCAGCCTCCATTATATTACTCAACAAGAACCGGTTTGGCAACCAACAACATAGGAAAGCCACGTGGAATGCATGTGTTGTTCTAACCACGTAGAGGTGTCATGTTGCAGCTAATGGCAGTGATTTGCTTATTGAGATGAATAGAAACTTTTCAGCAATTCAAACAATTTTGAAGAAACAACGTCTGGACGCTGCTTCTGGAGTTTAGCAAACAGTCACATTTGCAAATGTATTAGCTGAAGAGGGACAGGGACTCGGTGTAAGGACTCCTGGCAACGATCAAAATGTCTGAAAAGGTTAAACTGAAAAAGCTCTTATGATGTTTTCAAGATCACTGAAGCTTATGTGGTTTAAGCAAAGATGATTAAATTCTGTGTGCTTGCAAATAAAATAGTCCTTTCAGATGAAAGGCTGAGGATAGCAGGGACTGTTCATAACATGATTGGTCACAATGAGAGAGTTTTAAAAAGGCCGGGTGCTTAAATGTAGTTTAACCTCCTTGACTTGAAATACAACCTCAGCTGCCATGGAAACGAAGTAAGACTTTTTAAAAACTAACTCATAAAGCTTTGTCATTTACTACCAACAGATCCAGATATACTAATTTCTTGGATGGTCAAGTATTTATGGACATTTTTAGTTTAGTAACCAGCACTGGCCAGCCCCGAGCACACTAAGCTTATTAAAAGTCAGACTCATCTGTGAGCAACACGGTGTTCTTTCTGCACCCTTTGTGACAAACAGTTTATAACGGTGCCTTTTGTGCTTTGATTGGCAAAAACATGGAGATTTCATAGAAAGTTGAGCAGAATATTATGCTAACTTGAAAAAAAAAACAATGCTTTATCTAAAAGGGAAAATAGTAGATTGAAATTTAAAACGTGCCCTATACTTAAGTATTTATCTAGGTTTGTACGTTGTTATACAGTATATAGGAATAATAAGCTTAAACTTATGAGCCAAAAACAAACAAATGATCTTTTTATATCTGGTATAATCTATTCTAATTTCCAAACATCATTATCAGCATTAGCCATTGGAAACTCATCAGTTAGAATTAGAGTTAGGGTTATGTTGTCAGATTTGTATTAAAATGTGAATATTACCTTTAAACTACCAGATTTAGAGGTTGACGTTTCACCTGCTCAGTTTGGGGCACTGAGTGAGGCGTTTGTAGCCACAGTTACAGTATAACTATACTACGTTGGTGTCATTATCAAGTCAGACATACATAGTGTAAAGCATGCATATCAGAAACCACAGGCCTCTTTGGATTCAGCCTCTGGTCTGTCTTTAGATATGCTCGCTGTAGAATCTCAAACCATTTTTACAGAACAGTTAGTGTCTTATTGGCAAGAAATGACTTTCTTTTAGTTTTTAAGAGTGCTACTGTTCTCTTTATTTAATTCATGCAGACCAACAGATGGCTCAGTGATGTCTGCTTACACTAAGACAACCTCACGAACTGAGCTGATGCTCATTGGTTTGAGGCATAGATCCGTAGTGGAGCTTCAGGCCCCCTTAGTTTTACCTCACTTCTTCAAACACCAGTGTAGGGACCTATCAGACCCAGCTTCAGAGGCGACGTGTAAAAATCAGGCGCCGTTCATCACTTGGCGACACTGGAAACAGCTCTTGGGTCAAGTCTGAGCAGAGTTAGACTGTAATGTATACATGCTGCCAAGCTAAAATAGGTGCAGCCTTTTTCCTACTTATCATCTTCACACTGGCTCCCATTTCACAACATGAATATCCTTATTTTTTATTTTTTGTGCCATGCTGGCTGCTTTGTTCTTTATCGCACTGGATCTTGTAATTATAAGCTGGAGGAAGTAAAGTGGCCCATTAAACATTTGTAAATGAAAAACCGCATGCAAAAAATTACTTAAAGTTGCATTGCTTTTCACACATCTTTACATAGCTTGTCAGTTGTATCACATATTGTAATAGTGACCCTCCAGTCCACAAGGGCTCTTTTGGTATTTGTTAGAACATGAACTTTGTTGAAAACAGTTTACCAGTTTGTCCTCTGAGCTAAAGTTTGACCTACATTATGCAGTCATTCTAAGAAAGTGAATGCAATTCTAAGTTTGTATATGAGGGCATGGAAAACAAACTTTTGGTCCTTACCAAGCTTTAAAATGAGGTACTTGTAATCTCAAATGAACAACACATAATATATTACTGGTTTGTTTTTTTATAGCAAAAGCACGTCCAAATTGCAGAAGCGCTGTGTGGAAAAACTAAGTGCATTCCTACTGCTTCAGTTGAAATTAAGAAGACATTTAAAAGTTGATCAACAAGGCCCTTCTGTAAAAACAGGAGTGGTGAAGTTTTCTGAAGCACTCAGACGTGCGTTAAGACACTGCCAAGAAGGAAAGGCATCAGGCAAAACAACCAATCTGGGAAGGGTTACAAGGCCATTTCCAAACAATATGGAGTTCATCGTTCTGCAGGAAGAACGATTATTTCCAAAGAAAAACATTTAATACAGTTGTCAGCCATTC